GTTGCTTGATTTCGTTCACAAGGCACAGGATGTATATCACTGAATTGTGGCAGGTCCTCCAATCTAAGGTACATATTTTAACATTTTTGAGAACAGTTGTGCACCTTAAAGTTGATGGAGTTTTTTCCCAACAGTACAGAAATTAATAATGCCTCTTACAATCAATTATATTTTCACTTTGATGGAATACTATTAAAATATGATTTAAAAAAATTATCATTGTATGGCAGAAACCAACACAACATTGTAAACATTTAAAAAATATTTACATAAATGAAAAAAACAGAAAACATGAAGGGCCACACAAAACAAGTAAATGGCCTAATAAATTAGAAAGCCAACATTTTACTTTCTGATATCGATACCCTAATAAGCTATTATAAGCAAACCTTGTCATAATGTGGGAAACCTGGGTTTAATCCCTGGGTTGGGAAGATCCCCTGGAGAAGGGGAAGGCTATCCACTCCAGTATTCTGGCCTGGAGAATTCCATGAACTCTATAGTCCATGGGGTCACAAAGAGTTGGACACTACTGAACTCCCTGTAACCACCACCCTAAAATTTATAGTTATCACTTTCTTTTATTTCTCTATTGTCTAATCACCAGAGTGGGCATCCCTAAGTAATTTAATTTAGTTTTGTCCGTTTTTTAATATGGAATTTTCCTCTCCCTTTCCTTATAATTTATCTGTTGAGAATCCAAGGGCATTTAATCTGTAATTTCTTGCTGTCTGAATTTTGCTAATTGCACACTCAGGTTGCAGTTCCCTATTTCCTCTGTCCTCTGTATTTCCTGCAATTCTGCAGTTGCATCCAGAGGAATGATGTCTCATCTCCAATCCTGTGGCAAGACTAGAGGATGCTGAGTTCTTTCATTAAGAGAAATGAAATGTCTAGTTACAATGTTAACAGCAGCCGACACTCTAAGCCTAAATCCATTAATCCACTGGGGGTTGCAAACAGTGATCTCTCTTTTTCATTGTTAGAGCACTAAAAAGAGATTTATCTTCTGCTTGATTACCCACTGGTACAGTATAAAGATGGGCATCCCTTGTAGTTCAGTTGGTAAAGAATCTGCCAGCAATGCAGGAGGCCCAGGTTTGATTCCTGGGTTGGGAAGATACCCTGGAGAAGGAAATGGCAACCCACTCCAGTATTCTTGCCTGTAGTATAAAGTATAGAGTATAAAGATAGGGGAAATGCCTGATATTTCTTTTACTTTCTCATATTCAAGATAATGCATTGATACTCTGTAATCTTCTGAAGGTGATCAATTTTTAAAAATATGTTTATGATGGGATCAAATAAAGGACAGTTCCTATCTTTTCAAGAACAAGTTCTCCCATGTTTGGAGAGTGGGGTCCTCTTCAAGTGTCTCCTTAATCATTTTTGAAATTACATATTGTTCACTAAAGGGTTCTGTTTTAACAAGATATCCCAGGCTTGCCTTTTATATGTCTTTTCCAGAATACTTTTCCAAGAAGCTCTCATTTCTTTCAGTAAAAAATGGTGTATTAAGACTAGTGATAGGGATGCTCATTGGTACAGGATTGGTTACTTTTTTCTGGGTTTCTTTAGTATGTGTGGGTATATGTATGTACACATCCACATATATGTATATGCATGTATATAGTATGTGTGTATATACATTTTCATAAGTTTACCAGTACTTCCAACTCAAGTTTATAACTACATTTTAAAAAGTTAAGCTGTTCTGTATTTTGTCTTAATTTCCTTTTTCCTAGACATTAAGAATCTTGGGGGTGGGGAAGAATCTTGGTTCTCAAGAAAATTGGGGATGAATTAAAATATCCCACAAATATTCATTTACCCTATCCCACATTATATACACAACAGTCCTAAAATAACAATTATCAGATTACTTCAAGCTAAACCATGTTTTGCATATGGTCTCTTCTCTGTAGCTATACTATCTATATCATCTGGGCACACAGTCATTGCATATCATAATTCCCTTTTAGCTCTCATTTTTAGTTGTACAAGTCACTATGTTTGATGGTCATCATCAATCTTTATCATGCTATTTCTCCAGTTATTTTGGTTATTTTCTGATTTCTCAGGAAGAGCTTAAGTGAGCAAGTTTCCAAATTCTTGTTTGATAGATAAGTTTGTGTTCTTTAAAATTGAAAGTTGATATTGTTGAATATAAAATCCTTTGCTTACATTTTCCCTTGAGTATCTTTAACACATTACTCAATTTTCTTCAGGTATAAAGAATAATTGTGGAAAAATCTCATGATTATTATTTTTCTTACATGTCACTTGCTGTCCTTGCCGACCCAGAGGATTTTTCCTTCTTTAACTTGTCACTTAACGTCATGGTGTTGTTTTGGATCAATAATCCTGGGTGTTAAGAGTGCATTTAAAAAATATTGTTTCAAATCTTAAAATTTAAAATTTTTCTGAAATTATAGGTTGTTTTTTCTTCAGAAATTCTTATTGTCTGTATATTGGACCTTCTGCTCCATCTTCAGTATCTGTGACTTGCTAATCTTTTTTTTTTTTTTCATTTATTTTTATTAGTTAGAGGCTAATTACTTTACATCATTGCAGTGGTTTTTGTCATACATTGACATGAATTAGCCATGGATTTACATGTATTCCCCATCCCGGTCCCCCCTCCCACCTCCCTCTCCACCCGATCCCTCTGGGTCTTCCCAGTGCACCAGGCCCGAGCACTTGTCTCATGCACCCAACCTGGGCTGGTGATCTGTTTCACCCTAGATAATATACGTGTTTCGATGCTGTTCTCTTGAAACATCCCACCCTCGCCTTCTCCCAGAACTTGCTAATCTTTTAAGGTGTTTTTTCCATTTTGTTTTTTTTTTTTTACCTATTTAAGGCATCATCTATCTGAATGATTATTTGCTTGTGTTCCTTCTAGCTTTAATTTCTGAAATTTTTATTTAACACTTTCCTGAGCTTGCCTTTTTTTTTTCCCTCTGAGTTTTTCCAGTTCTAAATTTCCTTCATGTTCCATAGCATTTCCTCAACTTTTAGCACATTTTCGAACACATTGGTTTTGATCTGCTCAGTGGGCCTTTCTGGTAGATTTTCATTATTTGTAGAGATGTTATACTGCTCGACTCTTTAAATCAGTTTTGTAAAGGACTGACCTAAACATTTTTCTATAGTTTTTTTTTTAAGTAAAAAATAATTTTCCTAAACTTTGAGCAGGCATGGCTCATGGGAGCTTCTCAAACCTCAGCCATTTTGCTGCTGTTGTTGCTTTTTCAGTGTTCAAAAACAGACAGGATTCTGCTGAGATTTCTTGGTCAACTATTCCTCTTCCTTTGTGTCTATTGTCTCTTTCCCACCCAAGCTTTTGTTTTACTTGCCAGCAGTTTCTCTTCTGTGGGGGACCCTGTTCCCCTAGAAGAGAGCCTTGGCAAATACAGTAAATCATTTCAAAAGTTCATATGGACTACATTGCTTCAGTCCTCCAGATATAAGTGCAGGCCTCTTGCACTCACTTATCATTGGATGGCATAACAATTTTAAATGCTGTTTGCAACTTGGTCTGCTCTGTGTTTCAACAATTATTCTATGTAAGTTCTGTGCTCATGTCCATTAGATGCCCTATTGCCATTCTCTACTTCTCCCAAATAGATGTCAGTACCACCTTGCAGTCTTGTGGCTGTCGGTGGCTTGTCTTCACCTACTCACATGTTGGGATTTAAATATATGATGCCATCTGAATTTGTTGTAATGTCATTCATTGGTATTTTGACTTTGTCGTCCAGTTGCGGTTATGCGGGGTTTCGGAGACTGAAAAACTACAGCACTGTTGCCATCTTTCCTTTCTTAATTTGTTCTGTAATAGGAAACATTCACAGAAAGTTCAATTTTGCTTTTGTTCTTTGTATAGCCTTTTCCAGATTTTGAGAAAAAAATTGTCTCCATTTAAAACTTTTATGCTGTTTCTTAAAACATTGTTTTTTTCTACTCGGACTCTTTATCCAAGTCCTCTACTAAGTCTCATTTAAAAATTAAACTGCTCTGAATCCCTTTCATTTATCCTCTATATCTCAGACACTTCTATAATTGTTTTACTTCCTGTCAGATTGTCACTTCACTTCCTTACTTCAGATCTTCACTTGCATACCTGGTTTGGTTCCCATCTATTTCTTTGCAGAGTATGGACAAATCATAGATTCTGTAGCTTTAGTAGTAATATCTTACATCACACCTAGAACATAAGTTTTAAGATAAGTTAAGGAATTTTTAGCCTATTCTTCAAAAAAGATATATAAGAGAAACAGGCTATTTTGGAAGTTTAAGACTGAATGATATAAGAAGTAATTCCTTTCATATGATGCTGAAGGCAATTTTCCTTCACTGTCAATCTGTAACCTACCAAACTCTTCAGGGATAACAGAGCCCTGTCCCATTTATGCAATGATCTTTAACCCTTCCAACTACCCGTCCCATCCCAGCAACTGTATTTCCAATTCAACCCTGAAAGACAGGAAAGGCAGGTAAAAAAAAATGAAAGCATGGAAAAGTATAGTAATTTCTTGTAGTATAAAATGATTAGAATTGTGGTTTTCCATTTACCATCTTTGTATTTGACAACATTATAGAAATCTTTAGAATAGCTTTTTGTTTTAAAACTATTTATTTTGGCTGCACTGGGTCTTAGTTGCAGCATGAGAACCCTTGGTTGTGGCAAGTGGGATCTAGTTCCTTGATCAGGGGTCGAACCCAAGTCCTCTGCATTGGGTGCAAGGAGTCTTAGCCTCTGGACCACAGGGGAAGTCGTAGAGTAGATTTTCCAAAGTTATTTCTCTAGTTAGCTTCTTACAAAAATATAAAAAGCCAAACAAGAACAGTTACACAATTATTATAAAAAATTGTGTTCTATTTAAAATAAATAGCATAGATCTAAGAACAAATCTTTCAGAATGGCCTCATTTCCAAACAGGACTTGAAATTGATAGAGATTCTCTTGCAGGCAACAGTCTCCCAGCTGCTTGCGTTTACTGGAATAGTGCTCTCTGAACACGCATACATTCAGAATTGTTAAATATATCCTCTTCTTCTGGAGTTAGCTGGATGTTATCTTTGACTGGAGACAGGGGATCTGGCTTTTTACAAGAAGGAAGCTTTTCAGAATCTCTGCAAAATATAATAAAATGAATTTGGTGTTTTTATGGTAGTGTTTATTAGAGAATAATCTGCCTGGACACAATAGAGGTATATAAAGAGGATAAGAACCTCTACTGTATAATTTCCCTCAATTCATTATGTAACACAATCAAATTCTCCTCTGAGTACGCCCTGAAAAATTTGAGTTTTGCTTCTTAGTACCCATTCCTGCTTTCCAAATCATCTTTCAAAGGAGGTACCACACCACTACTAAATATATACTAGCTAAGGTAGAATGATTTCAGTAAACAAACTTTAGTTTTGTTCTTTCTAGCACCCTTCTCAAGTCTGGCTGAGAAGCAGCATGAGTGAAGCATGAACAAGCGTTTAAGCCCTATCTTTTTACTCCTTCCCCGCTCCCAAATTTTGGAAGGAAGTTCTATGTCTATAAAAATTAATCATATTCCCAAGGCCCTTTTGGGGGGTTTGTAATATTTAAAATTATTTTCATAATAGTATTTAGACTTTATCTGCTTTTCATACTGTGCTGACACTGGTACCGATAACCCAAAAAAGGACATTTGTGCTAATAATAAGTAAAGCTGCTGGCAATAAATCAACACAATATCACCAAACTGTTTAAGAAATACTGATAGTACTAAAAAAAAGGTCAGTCTCACCATGGAAATTCAAATTTAAGTATTTAGCAAAGGGCTTCTCTAAAATGAACAGAGATTGTTTGTTCTTTATAAGGAAAAAAAAAAAACCTAACAGCATGTGTTGCCAGAGACAAAATTCAAGCTTTCCAGAGAAAATTAGAATTTTGGAAAACTTATATCTGCCCCTTGACACCTTCCCAATACTTAAAAGACTTTGCTGGCAAGACTGTGATTTTTTAAAGTATTGTATAGTGAAATGTGTCAACAATTGAAAGATAAGCGCAACTCAATAAGTCCACATTTTTCAAATGATCTGCACCAATGTTATAAAATTATGAATGAGTAAAAGATGCACACCAAAATACAATATGAGCCAGTAGACTGTAATGTTATACAGAGTATAAAAATCAATTGATATGGTTTCATATCCTATATTACAACTTTTAAGAAACTACCACCTACTGAATTTTGGTGTAATATAAAAGAAGAAAAATTAAAATTAAATAAAAAATGCTATTATGCTAAAGTGCATTTACATATGGGGTCAGATTTTCTTCATATAACTCAACCAAAGCATAACAAATCAAACAAAGAAGCAGATATAAGAATCCAGCTCAGTTCCATTAAATTGGACAGAAAAGATTTGCAAAAATGTAAAACCATGTCATTCTCATATTTGTTTTGAAAAACATAGTTTTGTAAAAATATACTGTCAATTTTAAGATGAAATGAGATTGTTGTTATTTAAAAATAAACAAATATTTTCTAGATGTCTCTTTTAATTCCTAAGACGGTTAAATGTTGACAGATATAATCCACATAAACCAAAGTACTTTTGGGTTCTCAGTAATTTTTTAGACCATAAAGTGTTCCTAAAGGCAAAAAGCTTGAGAACTGCTGCTATATGGTTTAATCTAGACTTTACACAATGTAAAGTAAAAAATAATTGTCCAGCACTTATTACAAAGTATTTCCATTCATACTATCTCATCTGATTGTGATAACAATTTCTACTAGGTAAAGTTTAATCTTATCATCCCATGTAAGTCACCTCCCCCACCCCTTTCTCTTTGCTTTTATTCTTAGCACATTTGCTGTAATAAGAACAAGAAGATAAATTAATTATAAAGTGATGCTACTCTGTGATCAATTTTGTTGCCTAACGGAAGTAAAGTGGTTCAAAAATTGTAGATGTATGTAGGGTCAACTCTTAAAACAGTGTTTGCCATATACAGTAGAAATCTGGCTAATTCATCATATAAACTCATAAACTCATTGATTCTTCCCATTTTAGATGTGGTAATTTAGGGAAACAAACTGCCTTAAGTCCAGAAGTAACCATACAGCATTATCTTTCCGTTCTCAAGCATGAAACAACTTCTAGAAGGAAAAAAAGCTGAGGCACATAGAAGTTTGCTTGACAAACTGGAAAAGTAGTTTGCTTGACAACATAGAGACCCCAAAGCCAGACTGAGAACTGAGGTTTTCAGTTGGCCATCTTTTCACTAAAAAGAAGATACAGAAGAGTCAGTTACAGGGACCAGAGGAAATTAAAACCCTTAGGGTAAGAGGAAAAGAAACTGATTTATATGAAAACAAAAAGAGGAGACAGGAATTGAGATTATAGGAAAACAATGATTTATCCTATTTTAGAATCAGTAACACAGTAACTCACTTTTTAAATACAAAATTTTTCCAGAGTTCATTGATTTTGATCTGCAGTCCTGGCTTGTTCTCGGCATTGTGATGATTTCTCTTACAGATGCTTGATGGCTTCTTGCTCAGCCCACTGGCTCTGGCAGGTACTAAACGTTTGATCTTGGTTGTAGAAAGATTGTCCACAGAACTGGATTTATACAGCCCAGGAATCTGCAGATTAAATGCTTGTTTTAATACTACTGTGTTAAAACAAACTACCTTTAATCTCAAACTTTATACATTGAAATAAAATTATTTATAAGCTGGAATAAAAATAAACTATAAACAATGTGCAAAAGTGGGTTTAGGTCTGCAAAACTTACATAATATTTTTAACAGGTGATCCATGTACCTAAATTTAAGAGTTATAAAAGAAAAGACAGAAAAATGAGTCTCTCTGACTTCCTCACTGCCTTTAAGCAATCACTATTACCGGTTTCCTGTGCAATGACTGAATTCCTTTACATACACACACCTCATGACTGGCAACATACTAAAAATTGCATCATACCACAATGTGTACTTTTTTCTTGCTTAATATATCTTGATTTTACCAGATAATGTATCTTGAAAATTTTTCCATTTCACATGTAGAACTGAATTTTGTTTTGAATAGGTTGCTTATCTTTTCCATTGTATAAATGTACCATAATTTACTTAAACAGATTTCTACTGACATTTGAGTTGATCTATTGATTTTTAATTGAGGTATAATTCACAATATTGTATTAATTTCAAGGATACAGCAAAGTGACTCAGTTACATACACACACATATATATATTCTTTTCAGATTCTTTTCCCTTATAGGTTATCACAAGATACTGAGTATATTTCCCCGTGCTATACAGTGAGTGAAGTGAAACCGCTCAGTCGTGTCCGACTCTGCAACCCCGTAGACTGTAGGCCATCAGGCTCTTCTGTCTGTGGGATTTCCCAGGCAAGAATACTGGAGTGGGCTGCCACCGACCTACTGCTATATAGTAGGTCCTTGTTATTTTATATAGGCAATGGCACCCCACTCCAGGACTCTTGCCTGGAAAATCCCATGGATGGAGGAGCCTGGTGGGCTGCAGTCCATGGGGTCGCTGAGTGTCGGACACGACTGAGCGACTTCACTTTCACTTTTCACTTTCATGCATTGGAGAAGGAAATGGCAATCCACTCCAGTGTTCTTGCCTGGAGACTCCCAGGGATGGGGTCGCACAGAGTCGGACACAACTGAAGCGACTTAGCAGCAGCAGCAGCAGCAGTGTGTATATGTTAACCCCCAACACCTAGCTTATATCCCTACCCTATTTTCCCCACTATCCCCTTTGGTAACTTAAGTTTGTTTTCTATGTCTGTGACTCTATTTCTGAATTGTAAATCAGTTCATTTGTATCATTTTTTAAAAAAGATTCCATGATTAAGTGATATCATATGATATTTGTCTTTATCTGTGCCTTGAATCCATTGACTTATATGCTGCTGTAAATGTGGAGCCACTAGTTTTGTTACTGTTGCTTTTTTTTTAGGACAGTATGAGTGTGGTAATATAAAACAAGGATTTAAAATTGATGAACCCACTACAGGGTGTATAAAGAATGGAAAGTTTCACACCTGAAAGATGCAATATTAAATTAGGATGTTGGTGATAGGAAAAAAGGAGAGCAAGAAATAAGACAGAGAAAGAAACAGGATTTAGACAGGTATAGATGTCTTGATTGTTTTTCTTTAGCCCTTGAAAAAGAAGGATCCAGCTGGAAGTTATAAAGAAAGAGGACAACCCTAAGATTTTGAAACTAAGTGACACAGAGCAAATATTACAGCTGATAAGTGCTTTAAGAAGTACTGGTTATAGGTTAAAAAAGAAAGATGAGTTTGATTTTATATACTGAAGACAGACATCAGGGAGCAAGAGGGAAGGTTCATCTGGGGAGCTGTCACCAAAATAGAAGTGACAGTTAAAACATTGACAACGCAAATCTAAAAGTATAATAATAATAAAAAGATGATGGTTGAATGTCCAGATGTAACTTCTTTTGAGAAAGTACTTTCTACATCTTTAGTCCTATCACTGCAAATAATTTTAATATCTTTCCAGACTTTTTACCATGATTATACAAACATGGGCTTCCCTGGAGGTTCAGATGGTAAAGAATCTGCCTGCAGTGCAGGAGATCCGAGTTTAATCTCTGGGTCGAGAAGATCCCCTGGAGAAGGGAATGGCAACCCCCTATAGCATTCTTGTCTGGAAAATCCCATGGACAGAGGAGCCTGGTGGGCTACAGTCCATGGGGTCACAAAGAGTCGGATACGACTAAGTGACTAACACATACACACACATACAAACATATACAATATGCATATTTTCAAGCATTTAAGCAAACAAAAACACCATGCTACACATATTATTTAATAGCATTGTTCCCTTTTCATTCAAAAATAATATGGACATTTTTACAACACAGGATTTGTTTGAAAAAGTCTTTCTCACTCAGAGATTTTTAAAAGAAACTTATATTTCCTGTTGGTTCAGCTAGTAAAGAATCCGTCTACAATGCAGGAGACCTGGATTCGATCCCTAGGTTGGGAAGATCCCCTAGAGAAGAGAACAGTTACACACTCCAGTATTTTGGCCTGGAGAAGTCCTTGGACTATACAGTTCATGAGGTCCCCAGAAAGTCGGACATGACTGGGTAACTTTCACTTTATATTTACATATTTTACATTATATCCTTAATATCTTTCAGGTTTATATTTATATAGGATGAGACATGACCTTCTTTCAAACAGATACACTAGATCACTTATTAAAAAGGTTTGTAAAGTTTCTATGCTTTTACAAATAAACATTAGAAAGTAACGTATTAACTATATAAATATAGTTTACTTATATAAGAAAAACAATATATGTCCATTAAAACCAACAACGTATTTAATGTATTTCACACCATTATCTTTTAGATATTTAGATTTTTTCCCCCAATTTTTCACTATTGCAACCAATGCAAGAATAAGTAGTCTTGTATTTAAATTCTCATTACCTCTTTAAGCTCAAGTTCTAGAATGTACTTACTGGGTTAAATTATTTGAATTCTTTCAAATTGCTTTCCAGAAATGGCACAGCAATTCTTATTCTCCTAAATATGATTATCCTAAGTAATTATTATCCTAATTAATTAATTATTGGGATAATTAATCATACCAATTAATAGGATTATGATATCTTAAATGTGATTATTCATCTCAGCACTTTATACCCTATAAAATTCAGTAAATTAAAAACTTTTGGAAAAATAAGAGGTAAGAAATTATATTTTATTACTTTAATTCATGTTATTTGATTACTAATGAGGCTGAACGTGCTTTTATATGTTAATCATCCACTTGGGCTTTTTGCTTTTGTCATCTCTATTCATGTCTCTTGCCCATTTTTAAGTTAGGAATTAGTATTTTGATACTGGCAAGATACTTAATACATAAAATAGGCTTCTGACTTATGAGCTTTCACTATGCAGTCACACAAATATTTATATAGTCTGATTGAAAAAAGCCGTTGATTTATCAGGGACCCAGTTTCTAGAAGGCCTTTTTGCAATACACATCAAAGCTTTACACCATACCTGCCCTTGGACCAGTAATACCACTCTACAGAATTCATCCCCATGAAAAATCAGGAATGTGTATAGTACTCAAATGTTTATCAACAAAATCTTCATTGCAGTACTGTTTGGTATAACAAAAATTTTTAGAGTAAAGGACAAACATAAGAAGATTAGTTAAACCCACACCATGGCATATTTTAGTCATTATAAGTAATGTCACTTAACTACATGAAATAGATCTTTATATACTATTTAAAAAAAAAAACAAACAGGTTTCACAACTTAAACACCTATTACATTGGCCAAAATGTTCATTAGGTTTTTTTCCATAAGATGGCTCTAATAGCACTTCCTTGTCTATAACTTCATTTGAAACAATTTTGTTAGATTGCATTGTGACAGCTTTCATATTAGTGTGCTTTAAAAAAAAAACAAAATTAGTGAATTTCTGTGCAGTCATTTTAATATTGAAGATGGGATTTAAAAAATATTTTTGGCAATATTATACTTTATTATTCCCTGATAGCTCAGTTGGTAAAGAATCCACCTGCAATGCAGGAGACCCTGGTTCGATTCCAGGGTCAGGAAGACCTGCTGGAGAAGAGATAGGCTACCCACTCCAGTATTCTTGGGCTTCCCTTGTGGCTCAGGTGGTAAAGAATCCACCTGCAATGCAGGAGACCTGGCTTCAATCTCTGGATTGGGAAGATCCCCTGGAGAAGGGAAAGGCTACCCACTCCAGTATTCTCATCTGGAGAATTCCACGGACTGTATAGCTCATGGGGTTGCAAAGAGTTGGACATAACTGAGCAAATTTCACTTTCATTTTTCACTTTTCATTCCAAGAAAGGTAAAAATTTCTCGCTAGACGAAGATCCATGGTCAGGTAGACCAATTCAAGTTGACAGTGATCAAAGGGAGACATAAACTGAGATCAAAGTTATACCACACAGGAGATAGCTTGCTCACATACTCAAAATATCCAAATCAAATGCTAAAAATCATATGCACCAGCTTGCTTATGTTAATTGCTTTGAAGTTTAGGTTCCACATAAGTGAAAAAAAAACCTTCTTGACAGTATTTCTGCATGTGATTCTCTACTTAAACATAATTAAAACATTTCCCTATAAAAAACAAATTGTGACAGGCAATCAAAAGTGGATACTGTTCAACAATGTGGAGTAGAAGAGATCATGGGGCAAGTGAAATGAACTACCAACCATACTGAAGGACAGTCTTTATCCAAAGAAAGTGATGTGTATATGGTGGGATTGGAAAGGAGTCCTCTATTATGAGCTCCTTCTGGAAAACCAAACAATTAATTCCAACAAGTACTGCTCCCAGCTGGACCACCTGAAAGCAGCACTGGATGAAAAGAGTCAACAGAAAACATATAATATTCCATCAGGATACCACAAGGTTTCTCTGATGACCAGGCAAAAACTTACAGCTTAACTGGTCTTCTGATTCAACTGCCACATTCAGATATTATAACTTCGGATTTTCATTTATTTTGGTCTCTATAAAATTTTTAAAATAATGTACCTGGAACAATTCTTTACTCAAAATGATAAAAAGTTTTGGGAAGATGGAGTTACGAAGTTGCCTGGAAAATGGCAGAGGGGAGTGGAACAAAACAATGAATATGTTGCTCAATAAAGTTATTGGTGAAAATGAAAAACTTGTCTTTTATTTTTACTTAAAAATTAGAGGAACTTTTTGGCCAACCCAATACAAATCAAGTACAAATATGGTCCGAAAAGATTTGAAGGTAGACATTTTTGTGTAAATAAGAATACAGGCACTTTGAGTTTTAATTTTGCTTATGTTCATATTTCCTGGTAATAAGCATGCCCTGCTTCTGAAATCTAAAAGTAATTTAAATAAGTGTTTTACCTTGTTTCTTAGAAGCGTGTCTTTCTTCGAAAAATGAAACAAGTGTAGCTTGGATTTCTGATTACCTTGTTTATCAAGTGGCTTAAAATTGCAATCAGATTCCTAGATCCCCAAGATCGAAAAATAAAGCAAAATTAGATTTTTACTATCAAGATTTTGTGACAACTGACCAATATTCAACAAACATAGAACAAGTAAATTGAGAAAAATCGGTGTAAATAAAATGTAACTTCTCAGAAGAAAAAAAGTATTAGAAACATGAAATACAATAAAAGAAAATTAATGTGGAATGATCTTTGCCAGTTTCACTATAGAAAACTAGTAACAAATTTCAGCTGGAGAAGTAAATTGTATAAAATATAGATTAAAAAGCTCTAGGTGGGGTCTCCAGAACCAGAAGGAGCACACAGCTCTTCTTAAAATTGAAGGTGTTTATGCCTGCTGGCTAAGACAGTAAAGAATCTGCCTGCAATGCAGGAGACCCGGGTATAACTCCTGGGTCAGGATGACCCCCTGGAGAAGGGAATGGCAATTTACTCTAGTATTCTTGCCTGGAGAATTCCACGGACATAGGAGCCTGGTGGGCTATGTCCATAGGGTCACAAAGAGTTGGACACGACTGAGCGGACATATACCTGAGATGAAACTGACTTCTATCCAGGCGAGAGATATGCTTCTGTGTGTACAAAGCAAAGAACAAAACCAGAGTAATCTGGAGAAGGGCATCTCATGTTCATGGGAAAGATGGCATGCTTCATGCCAAATTTTTAAGCAACCCTCTTGCTTAAGCCAGTGGATACAGAATCCATGTGACGTTGTACCCTTTCAAGGACTTTGGAAAGTAAATAAATAAATTCAGGAGACTTTACATTTCTGCATTTTTCAAGAGGATTTAAAACAACAGATATTTATCTTGGGATTCTACATAGCATTATATACTTACAAAGCAATCCAAAAGTCAAAAATATTCCTTTAAAATTTGGATTATAACTTACAGAAGCACTAACATTCCTTGCTCATAGTAGTGATTACTCTGGGTTATATTGTTTCTTAAAAGAAAGATCAAGAGTAAGATCCTAAGATTAATTAATCTCAAACTGGGTTAATGAACTCAATGAACATAAGAGTATATGGCTGTTGCTTTTCACAGTGAACTACCAATGGAAATCTCCAATGCATTTTCTTCAGAATCATATAATCCTTTTATCCTAAGAGAAATTTGCCATATCAAGTGGCAAGAGATGATTTAATGAATGATTCTTAGTTTAGTTTGTGTGATTTTTTTTTGGTGAGGGGAGAGAATATATGTTTCTGTAACTGTAAGCATAAAAATGATTGCCCAGAAGACAGACATGCGGAGAGTTTTGTCAGCATGACGAGCCCATAGGCTGTGATCTGGTAAGCCTTCTCAGTAAAACATGCTAAAAACTTTACAAAGTTAGTAAAATAGGAAGATGTCTGCTGGAAAAGGAACAAAAATACCCCAAAGGAGTTCAGAGTACTTGAAAGTATCCTCACAAATAGATGGTGATTTTTAATGAAAGATGTTCAAGAAACAGCAACTGCGATGGAACCCAAATAGTGCCACGAGAAAAATGCAGTAAGACATGGAAAATGAAAAAGATGACATTAAAATGGAGGCTCATATAAAAAGAAACAGTCTTCGAGACCAGTATGGATGAACTGAACACACAGTGAGTGAACAGGAAAAGAGAAGCAAAAGCCTCGAGGGTTTGGTTTGGCATTTTGTTGTTGTTTAGTTGCCAAGTCATATCCGACTCTTTTGCGACCCCATGGACTGTACCCCATCAGGCTCCTCTGTCCATGGAATTTACCAGGTGAGAGTACTGAAGTATGTTGCCGGTTCCTTTTCCAGGGGATCTTCCTCACCCAGGGATCGAACCTGCGTCTCCCGCATTGCAGGCAGATTCCTTACAGTTGAACCACCAGGGAAGACTCTTTTATTTAAAAAACACTACATGGAATGGATTTTGGATTTGAATACATTAACTGATTCCAGCTTTCTCTAAATGAAAACAATTTGCTTCCACATTTTAACTAGGCTTTTTTCTTTGAGTCCAACACAACTCAAGTTTCCTTTAGGAACTTGAATAAAATATTTTCCTTTTGATAAACACAAGATATACTGAGTTATTGGGTGCAGTGATAAAGAATCCGCCTGCCAATGCAGGAGACACAAGAGATGTGGGTTTTATCTCTGGGTCAGGAAGATCCCCTGGAGAAGGAAATCATAACCCGCTCCAGTATTCTTGCCTGGAAAATTCCCTGGACAGAGGAGCCTGGTGGGCTACAGTCCAGAGGGTCGCATAAGAGTTGGACACAAGTGAGCAACAGACCACAGGTACACAAGGACACTGATTTATTAGATGTTTAATATTCAGGATTATCAGGCCTTGAAATTCTGTTAAATATTACCAAGGTTATAAGTGTTCTTACAACTTGGTAACCATAGCTGTGAACATAAAATGAAGTCTGTTAAATTAGTAAATTTGAGATAACTCAGACTTAAAGAATGCTCTTCTGCCATCATGTCATTTTAAAATATGACATCACTGGGTCTTACGAGTAGAAGTTATTTGGAGCTTTGATTTTATTTACTTAAGAATAGAGCTATTTTATGAATAAGAAAGAATGACTAGGATGCGTTTATTAATTTAAACAGAATAACATAAAACCCTACGTTACTATCTTGTTTTGCCATAAAGGGGACTTTCAACAAGAATAATAAGAGTAGAAAATATATATATTTCTTAAGTATTAAAACTTAAGACAAACACCATCACGTTAATAGGATCATTTAGTTATAAGGTTCCAAACATTGTCTGAATTCAAGACTATAGTAAGGATTTAAATATTAAATTTATAATAACTTCAATAAGCTTATCATTCTTAGGTCTTAAATATTTCACAACTTGAGACATTTAGGTCTTAAGTGTTCCACAACTTGTGTTCCACTGTGTGAAACACATAGTGATGATTTAAGATATATAGCTAGATTACAAGTATAAGAGTCTAAAATATGAAAAGGTACAGAGAAGCCCTTCAGATGAGTAAAACATGAACTTTCTACACAGTAAGGTCTAGAGTGAAAAAACCAATTATTTCCGTAACATAGGCAAAATTTCCTCAATTATCTGATGAACACCCTATTTCTCTTATATATGAATTTGAAAACAAAGGCTTCAGAATGTGACTTACCTCTGAATCTGAATCCTTACTAGAAGGCTGAGAAAGTTTTGATGCATTTAAATTGTGTGGTGACAAGTCCATGCTTTCCTGAGACTGTGAAGACCAACCCACATCATGTAAGGGATGTGATTCATCACTTGACTCATCACTCTTTAACGGAGCTACATCAGACATCTCAGTATTCTCAGACAGAGAGGTGGAAGGATCACTCTTTCTACGGAACTGCTGCAATGCTGTGCTTGGAGAGGGGCTCGGAGTTCTTGAAAAATCTCTAAGACTTCCAGACCAACTGAAACAACTTCTTAGTGTCCCCAAGGTGGGTGGTGAGATGGTCCTCGTGAATGTGCTGGTCTTGAAAGACTGAGACTCTTCAGCCATCACAGTCACATCATCTGGAATCTGCTCACCGGAATTATGCGATACACTGGTATCATCCAACTTTTTGTCCTCTAGACAATCTGGTTCACCTCCATTGGTTTCTTTATCTGTGACAGCAGTTTCAGCTAGAGGCTGGCTGCTTGCTTTCTTTGATATACAGTCAGCAGAATCCAGAGAATTGGAAAAAAACCTAACAGAAAAAAACAACAGAAAGAATGCAGAAATATTTGGGTTTGCTCATGAAGGTGACAACATTTATAATGGAAAGATGGTCGCTTCTTTTTAAAAATAAATACATTAATTTCATAAATAAGGGCAAAATAGAAAAAAAAAAAGGCAAAATAGATTTTACACATGCTGATCCACCTGCCAATGCAGGAGCCACAGGAGCTGTGGGTTTGATCCCTGGGTCGGGAAGATATCCTGGAGCAGGTAAGAGCAACCCACTCCAGCGCTCTTGGAAAATCCCATGGACAGAGGAGCCTGACTGGCTACAGTTAGTTCATGAGGTCAAAAAAGAGTAGGACACAACTGAGCAGACATGCATGACACTCAACTATTTGAACAGATGAAGAAATAAGCAACAGAAAGGATACTTAATAACTATTGTCTCTTATTTTGTAATTGGAATACAAATTAAATAAGCTAATTAAAATACAAGTAAAATAAATTAGCTATTTACCTCTCATTTTAGCTTAACTCCTAGTAGTAAACCATCTGGGAACTTGTAGTAGCATACTAATCTACCAAGCTTTTTATATACCCTATATATTTCTATACTATTTTAAATATTGAGGTTAAGACTTTCAAATCAATTACTAAATTCTGTATTACCAAAGAGGTACTACTTACTCAGGGTAGTAGCTTTAAAAAAGTCATTTTAAAAACTCCAATATAAATGAAACACAGATTGCATCATTACTCGGAAGGATGTATTCAAGTAGCATATTTAGGTTTAAAAAGGAAATCCTAAAGCGTATGATCAGTTAAATATGAAACTTACAAAGAATGTACCTCCTTAATAAGCATTAGCTCAAAACCAAAATGATAAGCTGAATATTTACTAAATGCTTGAGAGTAAAAATCCTATTACCTTTTCATCAAATCATAGCTCATGTGTGTGGGTATAAGGCAGAAAGGAAGCAGCATGTGAAAGGAAAAGTCTTATTTGGTTTTTCATTGAGCAGAAAACATCAGCTCCTTTATCTGATCACATAGTTATTTTTCAGCAAACAATAACATCTGTGATAATCCAAACATTTTCCCATGTATTATTTCATAGGTAAGAGAAGTTAGAATAACAGAGTCCAAGGTTGTAAAATTAATCAGCTAAAGAACAGAGGATGATGGTTGGATGGCATCACCAACTCAATGGATGTGAGTCTGAGCAAACTCCAGGAGATGGTGAAGGACAGGGAAGCCTGGTATCCTGCAGTCCATGGGGTCACAAAGAGTTGGACATGACTGGGTGACCGAACAACAACAAAGAACAGAATTAAAACCCTGAACCCCTCCCAGTTGATGGTTGCTTCTTCCCAAATAGCTTGTGGTGTTAACTGTTAATTATATTTCTAGATCTCAAAAAGTAAATATGCCTTATTCTAGGATAAGTACCTATATAATATAGATAAAACAGACTTTCAAAAGACAGACAACTGGAGACAAACTTTTGCATATTTAATATACTTCCTGTTATGTTACATTAAAAAGAATGGGGTGGGAATGACCACTGGCATATATATTAGTGACTGGGCACCTGTGGCAGCTGTCTGGTTCACATAACTTCTGCTAGTCTTGAAACAGTCAAGATAAAACACAAATTTCAAAAATTTCTCTAAATGACAGAAGTTAACTTTCTAGAACGTATAAAGCAACACATATCATCTAGAAACCCATTTTCCATTTTTGCGGCCATGTTTTCATTATTGCATGGTTAACAAACACCGCTAATGAGGGTGTTAATTCTTCCTTTAACAGAGAAGAATCAAAATGACCATTTCACTGCACTGTGAATGTTTCCTTGAGAAGATCTGATGGGAGAAGGGTTTGACACACTCCCTAAAGGGAGCTTAGGCACTACCAGTGGTTCATTCTTTCATGACCATCTCCCATCATCATGGTTAGGCAAAACTGGCTGAAACCTAATTTATTAAACTTGAAAAATAAGAAAAATCACATTCTAAGTCTTCTGGAGAAATACAGAAGCTGATAAATTTTCTTTTTCTTAAAGTTACTAATCCCTGTTTCTAATTGTGGCACCACTATCCAAAGTCAATGAAACAGAGGTATTCATTGTATGTCTATCATCTACTGGGCACTATTTTATACACTTTACTTACGTTAATAATTTAATTCTATCAGTAATCCTAAAATTGCTATACTTGAAGAAACTGAAGCACCCAGAAATTAATTTGCCCAAGTCAAACATCTCATGAGTAAACCCGACAGGATTCAAAATCCAGGTGGTCTAACCCCAGGGTCCAAATTCCTAACCCCTAAGTAATACTGACTCTTCAAATTCTTATCTTCACTAGCAGGGACTATGACAACAGCTATTTGCCCTCCAGAATCCACTCTTCACAGGGTGTTCAGAGTGGTCCATCTCAGGCGTCTCCAACCTCTGGACCATGGACTCATACTGGTCCATGGCCTGTTTGGAACTAGGCCACAAAGCAAGAGGTAAGCGAAGGGAGGATGAGCAAGTGAAGCTTCATCTGTATTTATAGTAACTCTGAATTCCTCACATTACCACCTGAGCTCTGCCTCCTGTCAGATCACTGGTGGCATTAGATTTTCATAGAAGCGAGAACCCTACCATGAACTGTGCATGTAAGTGATTTAGGCTATGTGCTCCTTACGAGAATCTAATGCCTAACGATCTAAGGTGGAACTGAGGTGGTGATGCTAGCTTTGGGGAGCAGCTGCAAATACAGATTATCACAAGCAGAAATATACAGAGATCATAATAAATCACATGCTTGCAGACTTATATCAAAACCCTATCAGTGATGGCAAGTGACAATTAAGTTGCATCTGGTGGCAAGCTTTATAGTGGTAAGTGAGTTGATATACTTCAGTTGTACATGTACATCTGGTAGCAGGCTTTAAGTCAGAATCCAATGCTTATTTTTAGTTCACGTGTGGCCTGCCTATTATTTTATTTACCACCTCTGATTCTTTGCCTCTTTTCTGCCCTGCACACTTGTCTCAGTCAGTTTTGGTAAGCCCACAAGCTAACCCTAGTGAAAAGGAGTAAAAAACAAACATTACTGGAGAACTTCTTTGAAAAGAGGGAAAGACCCAATGATGAAACAGCAGAATACTCTAAGACTGCCAACAAAAAGAAACCTGCTTTTAAAATACCAAGAGTCCTACTTAAATAATGGGTTCATTGAAACATGCAATTCACATTCTCCAAGGCTGCTTTGTATAATATATGATGATTAGCTATCTAGAGAAGCCATGAAACCTTCAAAACTACTTTGCCACATGAAGACCAAGCACCCAGGATTAAAAGACAGCCTCTGGAGTTTCAAAAGAAAAAAAATATGAACATGTAGAAGCAATTCTTGAAGGCCACACTTCATTAAATGTGTCTACACTGAGAGCATCATTCTTAGTGGATCACTGCATGGCTAAAGCTAAGAAGCCTTTTACTCTTGGTGAGGAGTTGATCCTGCTAAGGACACTTGTCATGAACTCTTAGGAGAGGCTGCAGTTTAAAAGGTGGCACAGGTTCCTCTTTTGGCTAGCACCATAGCTAGACAAACTGAGGAAACAGCAGAGGATACTGAGGCATAATTGTTAGAGAGGATTGATGAGTCACTGTGGTACGCAATCCAGGTCGACAAGTCTACCGATGTTGACAAGACAACAATGCTTATTTTTGAGTGCTCTGTTTTTTAGGAGGATGTGCATGAGGATATGTTATGTGCACTTCTGTTGCCAATCAACACCACAGTTGCAAAACTATTCAAGTCTCTGACTGACTACATATCAGGAAAACTGGTCATTTTACGTTGAGATATGCACAGACAGAGCGGCTACCATGACTGGACAGCTTTCTGGTCCCACTACATGGGTCAAAGAGGTCATTTCTGAATGTAAGTCTGTGTACTGTGTCATCCATAGAGAAATGCTGCCTAGCTGAAGAGTATCACCTGAACTTACTGTTTTGCAGGATGTGATTAAAATAATCACATTAAAGGACACACCTTTAAGTCAAGTCTATTTGCACAACTCTGTGAGGAGATGGACACAGAGCACACATGTCTTCTCTCATACACAGAAGTGAGGTGGCTTTCTAAAGGTAGGTCACTGGCTAGAGTTTTTGAGTTACGAGAGTCACTCCAAAGATTTCTTTTAGAAAAACAGTCACCACTGGTAGCACATTTCAGAGAAACAGAAGGGGTTGCAAAACTTGCTTGTGTGACATATTCAACCTGCTCAGCAAACTCAATCTGTCACTTCAGGGGAGAACAACTGTGTTCAAGTCAGCAGATACAGTGGCTGCATTCAAAGCCAGACTGAAATTATGGGGGTGACGAGTGAACACTGGGGTTTTTGACATTTCAAACATTAGCAGAGATTTTGAAAGAGACTGAGCCAGGGCCTTCTTTTTCCCAGCTGGATGCATGATCACCTGTCTCAGTTTTCAAAAGAGTTTGAACATTACTCCCCTACCATCAAAGACCCCCAGACTGGAAAGGAATGGATCCGCAACCCATTTGTGAACAAGCCAGGTGAACAGACTTTGTCTATGCTAGAAGAGGATCACCTGCTTGAGATCGTAAATGATGGTGGCCATAAAAGTATGTTTGAGACAACTTCAAACTTCCATACGTTTTGGTTTAAAGTTATACAGAGCGAAGTAAGCCAGAAAGATAAAGACCATTACAGTATACTAACACATATATATGGAATTTAGAAAGATGGTAACGATACCCTATATGCAAAACAGAAAAAGAGACTCAGATGTATAGAACAGACTTGTGGACTCTGTGGGAGAAGGTGAGGGTGGGATGTTTCAAGAGAACAGCATCGAAACATGTATATTATCTAGGGTGAAACAGATCACCAGCCTAGGTTGGAGGCATGAGACAAGTGCTCGGGCCTGGTGCACTGGTAAGACCCAGAGGGATCGGGTGGAGAGGGAGGTGGGAGGGGGGACTGGGATGGGGAATACATGTAGATCCATGGCTGATTCATTTCAATGTATGACAAAAACCACAGAAATGTTGTAAAGTAATTAGTCTCCAACTAATAAAAATAAATGGAAAAATAAATAAAATAAAATAAAATAAACAAAAAAATAAAGTCAAGGCGGAATACCCTGAGATTGCCACAAAAACACTAAAAAGTTGGCTTCCATTTCCAACATCCTAACTCTGTGAAGCATGGTTTTCTGCAGTGACAGCAACCAAAACAAGATTATGGAGTAGACTGGACACAAGCAATGCGTTCATGTGTCACTGTCTCCCACCACCCCCGGGTGGGACCATCTAGTTGCAGGAAAACAAGCTCAAGGCTCCCACTGAGTGCACTCTCCCAGAATGCACCCATTCTGCATTATGGTGAGTTGTATAATTATTTCATTATATATCACAATGTAATAATAGTAGAAATAAAGTGCACAATAAATGCAGTGTGCTTGAATCATCCTGAAACCATCCCCTCATCCGCTTCATGGAAAAATTGTCTTCCAAGAAACTGACCCCTGGTGCCAAAAAGGTTGGGGACCATTGGTCTACCTAAGCCAGGAATCAAATCATAACCCTCTCCTGATTAAAACCTTCTAAATGTTTCCTATTGCCTTTAAAGACTCAAAGTTCCTTAGGTTGGCTTGCAAGCCTTTCATGAACTGGCTTCCTTATCTCTCCTCCTTCGTCGTCTCCATTCCTGCTCCTTGTCCATTCTTTCCCAATCTACACTGTGGCAGAAGTGAAACTAGCAGTGACCAACAGCAAACAGTTGCCCCCGTGCTCTACACTGCTGCTCACCTCCTTACCTCTGCCCAAGCTACATGAGTCTGCTGGTAAAATACCTGGCTCCATTCTTTATCTGCTTCACCCACAAGTCATTTAAACGTAGGTGAGAGCACCTTCGGAGAAGGCAATGGCACCCCACTCCAGTCCTCTTGCCTGGAAAATCCCATGGACGGAGGAGCCTGGTAGGCTGCAGTCCATGGGGTTGCAAAGAGTCGGACACGACTGAGCGACCTCACTTTCACGCATTGGAGGAGGAAATGGCAACCCACTCCAGTGTTCTTGCCTGGAGAATCCCAGGGATGGGGGAGCCTGGTGGGCTGCCGTCTATGGGGTCGCACAGAGTTGGACACGACTGAAGCAACTTAGCAGCAGCAGCAGTAGCAAGAGCACCTTACACGCACCCCTTCCCTCTCACCCTTTCCAACCATTGTCTCAGCATTAGATGCCCTCAAAACACCTTGCATGATTTTGTCACTGTACTTACCACACGGTATGGGATAATTTTGTTACTGACCTATTTTTCCAACTAGGAAAAACTACTTGTTTCTCAAGAGCAAATCCATGTCTCTCATTTCTGTAACCCAGCACCTAGTATTACATCAGATTATCAATTAATATGAAAATTACATAGTCATCTGTATTTAAATAGATTTATAAAAGTACGTTGTAAAATTATATTTAACTCTTAAACAATCTAAAAAAATAGAAAAAAAGAAGATGGATCCTCACTGCCCCCTGGCAAAGTAATAGAGGGTATTCTAATGCAAAATGCAATAAGATCCACAATTCATATTTTAGTTCTGTATCAGGAGATAACAAAAGTAATAGAAGTCCAAGTGGAACTAAGGCAACACATGATAAACTGGATTAAGCTAAATCCTACACCTGTCTCATTAGATTCAACGGCTATTCATAACAATTAAAATAAACACCAACAGAGTATATAATCTAATAGACACACAGCATTCTATAGATGTAACAATACCTGCTTCTGGTGCCTGGAACCACAACTGCACCACTTTCTTCATTTTTCTTCTGTAAAAATGTTGCAAATTTGTTTCTTGTCGTCAGTGGTGTGCTTAAGGTTTTTTTAGCAGTAGTTCCTTCTACCAGGTCAGGCATGAACAGTTCAGAAGAGTTCAATGACTTATTACCTTCACAACTATTTCTCTTGATCTTCTTTGTAAAGGAAGTAGAATATTGATCCAACATATCATCTTCTGACAGCTCTTCTAAATAAAAATAAGATTATTTGTAAATCTTTATTTCATGACTAGTTAGAGATTTGGTCTCAGTTTCACAGCCTATGTTCTATTGCCCTAAAGATGAAGTCTTTTTTTTTTTTTTTATTATGCATCAGAAAAGAAAACAATGATTTTTTTTTAAAAAAATTCCCTTGGCTGTGTTTTACTGTTTCAAAATTAACTATGATTTAATGTCAATTATTTGTATGAATTTCAGGATACAATCAATTCTGCAAGGTTCCACACCCATATACTATTTATGTTTTAAAAAAAGGGGCTAATTTTGAATGCAAAAAAAAGAGAAAAATTAAGTGAAGTGAAAGCCACTCAGTCGTGTCCGACTCTTTGCGAACCCATGGACTATACAGTCCATGGAATTCTCCAGGCCAGAATACTGGAGTGGGTAGCTGTTCCCTTCTCCAGAGGATCTTCCGAATCCAGGGATCGAACTCAGGTCTGTCGCATTGCAGGTGGATTTTTCCCTCTTCCTCTACAGAAGAGGAAAAAAAATATTGTAGGATCCCCAGAAAGCCCACCAAGAAGTTACACTATGTTAACCTCATTTTCTTTTTATGATAAGGTTGTTAGACTATCTGTTTCGAGAAATTCATAGATTTAGTATATCCTGAATTGAACAAGACACTTCAGTGTCTCATATTATCATAGTGGACAATGCAGAGCAAAAGTTATTATATATTAGTTACAAGAATTTGCAGCAAGTTGAATAGCTAGACAGACTACTGGTGACTATTAGTCTGAAAGGAGGTCTGTCTACTACAGGGCTCTAGATTTCCACTAGAACTAATATGTGATTTTAGTAAGTTTCAAAACACAAGATTAATATACAAAAATCAAGTGTATTTTTATATACTAACAATGAACCAAAAATTGCAGTTAAAAATATTATTTATAACAGCATCAAAAATCTGAAATACAGGGATAAATTTGACAACATATGTGCAAGACCTGTACACTAAAAACTACAAAGCATTTCTGAAGGCTTAAACTAAAGAAGACAAATAAATGGGTCCGAAAACTTGATATCATTAAGATGTCAATTCTCCACAAAATAATCCATGCATGTGTCAAGTCACTTCAGTTGTGTCTGATGTGACCCTCTGGATTGTAGCCTGCCAGGCACTTCTGTCCAAGGGATTCTCCAGGCAAGAATACTGAAGCGGATTGCCATGGTCTCCCCAGGGGATCTTCCCACCCCAGGGATTGAAATTGAATCTCTTACTAAGTCTCCTGCACTGGCAGGTAGGTTCTTTACCACTAGCACCACCTGGGAAAATAATCTATAGATTCAACTAAAACCCAGTCAAAACCTTAGCAGACTCTTTTTTTTTTCTTTTTTTAAAGAAATTGACAAGTTGGTTTTAAAATTTGCATGGAAATGCAAAGAACACAAAATAGTCAAAACAAGTTTTCAAAAGAAGAACAAACTTAGGGACTTACTTTACCTGATTTCAAGACTGACTATAAAGGTACAGTAATCAGGACAGTTTTTCTGGCATAAAGTAGGAGGAGACCAATGGTACAGAATAATAGAGCCCAGAGAGAGACCTGCACATATATGCTCAACTGACTGTCCACAAATGTGCCAAGACAATTCAATGGAAAAAGGATAATCTTTGAAACAAATGGTGTTAGAACAACTGAATTGCCATATACAAAAAAAAGTGAACCTTGATCCTGACCTCACACAATATAAAAAATTAATTCAAAATAGATCAAAGGCCTAAATGTAAGAACTAAAACTATAAAACTTCTAAAAGAAACAGGAAAAAATCTTAACGACCTTAGATTTAACAAAGACTTCTAAAATGTGACCAGTTCTCACTAGTATTTCACAAAAACAAAATACATACCACTTCTTGGTCTTTTTACAATGGATGACTTCCTTGGAAGATTTAACCCTTTAGTACTAATCATTTGTTTAATGCCCACAGTACTTGTATTTTCCTTCACCTTTGTAGTATCTGAAACAATATCCAGTTCACGTCTAGGGCAATAATTCCTATGCCAAATGCTATTAATATTAGATGATTTTTGACATGCTTTGTCAGTCCAACTATGACTCCTTGATTGCGCAGGCTAAAGTAGTAAAAAGAAAAAGGTTACTTAAAGAAGAAAAATGGTTAAATCATTCCCTCTGTATCAACATAAATTACAAGCAAATAATTAAATTACTCCTTTGAACTTTTGATGAAATATCCATCCTCTAATAACACTTTCTACTTTGCTAGTCTTATTTGCTGTTGTTGAGTTGCTAAGTCATGTCCGACTCTTCTGCAACCCCAAGGATTGTAGCCTGACAGGCTCCTCTGTCCATGGGATTTCCCAGGCAACAATACTACAGTGGGTTGCCATTTCCTTCTCCAGGGCATCTTCCTGACCCAGGGATCGAACCCACGTCTCCTGCATTACAGGTGAATTCTTTACCACTGAGCTGCCTGGGAAGCCCCTTTGCTAGTCCTTTTGTTTTCCATTAAATGTGTCTTGTATTCCTAGATCTGTTTTTCTCCTAATGTGGGTCAGGCAAACTTGTTAGATCATTTTTAAGAAATAAAATATATCTTCCTAAGATGAGCAGTGCAAGAAATAAAACTACACTTGAAGAACTATGATCAGAAAAAAAGTACTTTTAAAATTTGAGTAATATTTCAATATACAATATTTAGTTTAATAATCATCTAGCAAATAAGCCTCTAATTACAGATATATCCTTTACAAAGGATCTAAAAATTAAAACCATAAAATTATATATTTAATCAACTGTCATATCTTCAGAACTTGGATGAGCTCAAATGGAAACAATCTTATTTACAAAACAATAATTTCTTTAGTGGACAATCTCTATGTATTAAATGGGTAACTATTAGTGAATAATACCTATGTATTAAATAGAAAGCTACTTTGGTCTACACTGAATAATGCATAAAACTTTCTCTGAGAAAGAGCTTATTTTCAATAAAGATTGGTAAATAATCATTTTTAATGCTAATACAAGTTATTCACAATAAATATATTTTAGATGACAATGATCTGCTAAAAGGATGTCAATGATACTCTAATAGAGTAGAAGAGGCAAAGGGAAAAATTAACAATGGTATAAAAAATGCTGGTACTAAGGATGTGAGTTCCATGTGACAAAAGTCCCACTAAAATTTGGAATCTAATCTTTCACTTAAAGAAAGGATTAAATATAAAAATAAATAAAAAACAAGGTGACATTATTCACAATATATCTTAAGAATGAACAAGAGTCAAGAAATAACTTAGAATCATTGAGAAAAAAGGTATAATAAAAACAGCTTAAGCAGTATAGGTCATGGCATTAGATCTCATTGATGGTTTCATTTAAAAAAGAAAGAAACAGGAGAGTAGAAAATCTGATTGGGAAGAATACATTTTAGATAAATAATAATAATTAGCTTGATGTACAATTAGTGGTTCTGAAAGAAATGTCCTCATGAAATAAAAGATCTGATAAGGATTTGGTTTCATGAAGGATGGCCATCTTAGTGATCCATAACATTCCCAATGATATCTGAACATTTTCAATACAACCAATTATTTTTGAGTTTCTGAGACAAAGGAAAAACTTGAGAATCATTCTCAATGAAATTATATTAATATCAGTAATTCAAATGTGTAAAGAAGATAGCAGAATAAAGACTTTTCAGTCCCGCTAGTCTACAAACTTACAGTTATGAGGTAAATAAGTCACACAGCTGTAATGTACATCACAGGGAATGCAGTCATCCCTTGGTGGCTGCAGGGGATTGGTTATAGGATCCTTTCAGATATCAAAATCCATGATGTTCAACTCCCTTACATAAAATGGAGTAGTACTGTCAGCCCTCCACATCCATGGATTCAATCTAATTGGATCTGCGGTTGGTTGAATCTGCAGTTGGTTGAATCTGCAGATGCCCACAGATAAGGAGGGCTGTACAGTCAATAATATTGTGGAACCTCCCTTATGGTCCAGTAGTTAAGACTCTGTGCTTCCAATGCAGGAGGCATGGGTTTGGTCCCTGATCAGAAAACCAAGCTCCCTCATGCTGGCATGGCCAAATAATAACTCTATATGGTGAAAGATGGTAATTAGACTGACCATGATAATTTATTAATGTATATAAATATTGAATCACTATGTTTACACTTGAAACTAATATGTCAATAATGATTCAATAAGAAAAAAATCACTACCAAACCAATAAGAAACAAACTCCATCTGCAGAAAAATTAGGAGATATCTGTGACTTCCAAACCATAATGAAGACAAGGGTATAAGACAGAAAAATTTAAAGAACCTAGCCCAAGGAGGGAGGGGTAAGATAGGGGTAGGAGATTAAGAGGGTACAAACTATTAGGTGTAAAAAAGCTACAAGGATATACTGTACAATACAGGGAATATAGCCAATCTTTTATAACTATAAAGTATAACCCTTAAAAATTGTGAATCACTATGCTGTACCCCTGAAACATATATTATACATCAACTATATCTCGATAAAAAGATAAAAATAAAGAACCTAGCTTAAGAAAGATCAAACTCATGTGTCTGCAGAAAAGAATGATGCCAATTCCACATACAGAAACTTAAGAGAAAGACTTGAACCAAGTACCACGGAGGCCGCAAGTAGGCGGAGGGCTGAGAAAAGGATTATATGGCTCCTGGGCCCTCATCTTCGATCTGTCCAATATGGTCAATTCATACCCATCTGCCTTCAGAGCAACCAGACCTTCGAAACCCACAAACAGTAACATAAAAGCTTCAAAAGGTGAGAAGATCTCTAAAGACAGGGATTGTCTAAAGACAGGGATTGTCTAAAGACAGGGATCAAATGCAAGGTTAAATATTGAATGGTGGGATTAGCCCTTCCCCTTCCTAAAGAAAGAAAAGAAAGTTAGTCACTCAGTCGTGTCAGACTTTCTGTGACCCTGTGGACTGTACCCACCAGCCTCCTCTGTCCATGGGATTCTCCAGGCAAGAATACTGGAGTGGGCTGCCATTGGGTTGAGATCTTCCCAACGCAGGGATCAAACCTAGGTCTCCCACATTGCAGGCACTCTTTACTGATGAAGCCACTAGGGAAACCCACCCCTTTCTGGTCCACCCCAATTTATTTTCCCCATCTTGCTCTCAAAATGTTTACCTAGCTAAGTAGAAATTGGAGGATCCCATTTTAGAAAAAAGACCTGTACAAAGAAAACATGCTGATGTTTGAGAAATCACAAAACAAAGCCAGCTTGTTGCTAACCAGTTCAACCAAGAGTAATAAAACCCAAGACTATAAGCCCCACTCATTTACACAAAGCTTCTTAAGCTTCTCAGTGCCTCTCCTAAATAGGAACAAACTGATAAGAAGCTAGGTGTTAGAAAAGTCTCCACCATAAAAGAGAAAAGCCAAAACACATAGGAAAAAAAAAAAAAATCCAAAGCTAACAGAAATAATGCAGAGAAGAAAATGTATAAGAGAAATTTAATATTAAATTTCTGAGAGGAGTGGGAAAGAGGAGAGTATATTCACGAAATGAAAGTCTTTAAAAAAAAAAAGCACAATTAAAGAAAAGGTTCTTGGATATGAAAATGATAACAAAAACTAAATATTAATCAGAATTTTCTGCAATGATGGAAAGGTTCCGTGCTGTCCAACATGGTAGCCACTAAGGACTTGAACAGTGACCAGTGCAACTGGAGAACTAAAATTTAATTTAATGTCAACTTAAATAACCGCCTGTGGTCAGTGGCTACATACTGGACAGCACAAAGCTGAAAGACAAAATAGAAAAAAAAGTTTCCCCCAGAAAGAAAAGAAGACAAAGACATGAGTAAGATAGAAAAGTTCCAGAATCTAAAGACCAGGAAAAACCAATACCTAACTGATAGAAGTTCTAGAAACAGAACAGAGAAATCAGAAAAGGAGAAACAGCAACCTGAGTATAAGGATTATATAATTTGAGCTGATGAACATAAAGTTCTTTTTTAGTATCATTATAAATTTGTTCGCTCATAATAAGCTTGGCTTATTATTTCAGCTGACAGTAATGATTCTTCTCAACACTCAACTTGTCACCAGTTTCTCTGTGGCCATGTTCTTTAGGCTTATCTCGTTTTCTTTCTCAAGGTGCTCCGATTCATTTAGCTGGTAAACTGAGACATTCTTGGTCCAGCCAGAACGAACTACTTTGAGTACCTTTAACATGCTATCCTCTTCCATACATGCTATTCCTTTAGCCTGGAACCACTCACCCATTTTGAAAATCCCTACCCATCTTCGTAAATCCAGGACACACACTAGCTCCTCTATTAGGAGACACTAGAGGGCTTGGCTTGGAATCAGAGCTCCCCTATTGATAAAATGTATGACCTGGCAAGTCACCTAATCTCCCTCTAATTGTTTCCTCATCTGTAAAGTGGAAATAATGGTACTGTCGTCAGAGGCTTGTTACAGAATAAATAAGTTACTATGTTTAATGTGCTTAGAATGGCACTTAGAAAACAGCTCAATAAATGTCTGCTATTATTATTATTAAAAGGTATTCTCTTTTTCGGTGGAGTTAAATGCATCCCCTTTGTTTCCATGGAGCCTAGAATACATCTCTATTATGGGATATACCATATTTCTATGTATATAACCATGTGTCTCTTCCTTAGACAATGAGTATCTTATAAGCAAGGACTATGCTCTGTTTTTCTTTAGATTCCAGAACATTCCAGAGTATGTTTGTTACAATACTTAATAAATGCTTAGTAAAGAACTGAATGGGGAGTAAAGGTAATGATCTGGATTAGACTAGAAACTATGAGAAAGAAGTAACTATTAACGAGAAAGACAAAAAATAAATAGGAGGACTTAGCAATGAAAGAGAAGCCAGGGGTGGGGGAGAAACAAGATAGATGAAGGAGATTAAGAGGTACAAAAGACTAGGTATAAAATAATTAAGTTACATGGATGTAATGTACAGCACAGTGAATATAATCAATACTTTATAATAACTTTGTATGCAGTATAATCTACAAAAATGTCAAATTACTCTATTATAGACTTGAAACTAATACAGCTGACCCTTGAACAATGTGAGGGTTAAGCTGAGTATACCTGATAGTTGGCCGTCTATATTTATAGTTCTCTATCACCTGTGGAATCAACCAACCATAGATGGTGTAGTAGTATAGTATTTACTGTTGAGAAATATACATGAATAAGTGGATGTGTGCAGTTCAAAGCCATATTATTCAAGGGTCAATCATATAATATTGTAAGTTAACAATACTTCAATTAAAAAAAAAATTAAATTCCAAATTTTCTGGTCTGAGAGAATAATAGAGATCATGTAACTGACATTCATTCATTACAAAAAAAATGGTAAATAAAATATGGCAATGAATATCACAAAATCTTGCCATTATGAAGATTACAGTCTATTGGAAAGAATCAGAAAATAAACAACTGAGACATAATTTATGATGCAATAACTGATAAAAAGAATAAAGGGAAGCTGATAAGAAAGAGTTTGCTTTTGATTGTAGACAGATTTAAGGTTATAAAAAGTACTTACGCAGACACAGGAGACATTTAGAATTGTTGTGGCTGGTACACAGATTAGAGACTGTTAAAGATGTGCAAGTCCTCTGCATAAAATGAGATAATTAGAGTCATGGTGGTGGTGATTTAGTTGCTAAGTTGTGTCCAATTCTTGTGACCCCATGGACTGTAGCCTGTCAGGCTCCTTTATCCATAGGACTCTCTAGGCAAGAATACTGGAATAGTTTGCTATTTCCTTCTCCAATTAGAGTCATAAGAACTTATTAAGGAATAAATTTGAACATAAGAGAGAACAGAGTCTGAATGGAAATAGGAACAGAAAAGAGAGAATGATGGAAGTGTACATCACAAGAGATATATAGACATACTATTGGGAAAAAGAAAATAGGAGAGGGATGAATGACATATAGCAGAGGTACTCAGTAAGTACTGCTAAACTGTGAATGAGAGAAAAAAAAGTTTTTACTCCCGAGGTATTTCTAGATTTGAGTCTTCAACAATGCCAAATGCCAGAGGTTGGATTGGATGAGATGAGAAAAAGGCATTAAGCACTTGGTATATTCAAAAAAATGTTCAAGTATAAAGGTCTTATATTATGTGGTCACTTTTTAAGAAAATTAACCAATATACCCATTGGTTCTAAGAGATATATTGTCTCTAGAAATGAGTTGTTTTCAATCAACATTCTGTACAGTGCCTGGATGTAGAAATGTTTAAAAGATGTTTACTAAGTGAAGATTTGCCATTAGTCTTAGTTCCTAAGCAATAACAAAATATGCTTTTAGAAAGAAGTCTTTAATATGTTACCATGGCAGTGTCTGGATTGTAGTCATCGATCTGCTTGAGAGTATTTATATCTTTATTCCCAAGTGCTATTTGAAGAGCTATAGAATCATCAACATACCTAGGTTGGTAAGGTTAAGGAAAAATAATTTTATTAACAGCCAAACAAACAATACCATATTAAGACAGAAAAGTGTGATCTATTGTCAGAGAAAACCTTCAGGTTTATGACTTCAATGGACCCTACTTCCTTTCCACATTTGGCTTTACTGAAACCACATGATAATTTACTTCCTTTTCACATTTGGCTTTAGTGAAACCACATGATAGTTTACAGCAGGAGTTGGCTATTTTCTGAAGCAAAGCCCTAAGGCATCACTTACTTCCTGTCAAGGGAGATGGAGAGGAAAGCCCTGCCATTACCCAGGTGACTCACAGCTCCACATCACTCTGTGTGTACATGGCCAGTGGCTCTGCAGAAAGCATCCTCAACTGGTGTACTCACATGACCAGAGTGTTCTTCCTGATTGAGCTTGCTCACCATGAGTGGTTCTCCTCAGTGCCACCTTTGGAGTATGTACCTTAAGTGGCTGACTACATATTTCTGTCAAGTCAATCTAAGTAATTAGCAAGTTATAATGGATGAGCTTCAGATTTATAAACAAAAAGTTACTCTAAATTTTTAACTTGCATGATAATTAAATTTAACAAAATAAAGATTCCACTATAAAAAAAAAAGAAAGCCAAAAACAATTTGCCAGCTTTTGACTGAATGTCTAGCTAAAAACACCACCACAAAGACATGAAAGGAATGTAAACTTCTACCATTCTGGTTCAGAAAGGATACTGTCCAGCATAGCTTAGTGTTTGGGGATCAATGTCATCTTCATAGGCATTCAGAGGGATGAGCTTCCTTTTGATGGGATCAAAAACAAGCTGATAGAGGAAGGTATTGTTGGCCCGAATAAATCCTTTGATGTAATCTTCTGGTACTGTTATATTCATCTTGAGATAATGTCCAATTTTCCTGATGACCTAGTAATGAGTATAAATATATTTATGAGTTATTTAATACCCAAAGATAAAGAATAGGGAAAGTGTTATTCCCAAGACCCATCACTTTACATTAGAGAAGGATGAGGAGGGGTAGGAAAATCGATTGCTTTTGGAGGGGGGTAGTATAATTGCTTCACAGTGTCATGTTAATTTCTGCTGTACAATCAAGTGAATCAGCCACATGTATACATAATACATATCCCCTCCTTCCTGGACCTTTCTCCCATTCACCCCAACCCACCCGTCTCGGTCATCATACAGCTACATTAAAAACCTCGACCAGTAAACACAACCATGTCATGACTTAAAATTCAAAGATATGTTCTTCACCTTCAAAGTCTCTTTCATCCAGAAAGCAAAAAACAAAACATACAATTACCTGAGAATTTGAAAAAAAAAAACAACACCACAAATACCTGTAGATCATATTTCAAAAAAGAAGTCAACATTTTAACTCCTATTAGAGTTGTGGATGATTAAAGCTGCAAGAGATGAAGAAGAGAAGACCCAGGGAACTGAAGTGATCCTGAAGTCACAGGCTAGTTAGTAATGTTGCTCTGTTTCAAAACCTGCTACCATCTCCCACCCTTGAGATCTGTCTACTCCAGTACACCACCCTTAGCCCTGAGGACTCACATTATATAATCTTGGAAATTCTGCTCTGCAAACTCTAAGGGCTTAAGAGAACTACTCAAGGCATGGTGAGGGTGGGAATAATCTACTTGATTTTTTAAGGAAAAGACATCAGAGAACTTATACAGCAGTGATGTAATGAGGTCTCAGAGTTTCTTTAGAAAATACACGACACTTCCTCAAACTGTATGAAGTAAGAATCTGGCTGTATTTTATTAAGCCATGTTAAAGAGATTTACATAAAGATGCAATTCCGCTCATAACTTTCATTTGCTTTAGAAGACAACTACTTCTCATAAAAATATGATGTCTATGTTACAATGCAATGCATTGATTATTGTTAATTTTAAGTGAATTAATAAACATTAAAATTCTTCTCTTTCAATTTCTGACTCAGTAAATTTCAGTAGCTATAACCCATTTAAACAAAAATAATTGTCACAAAGAGTTTTTAAGAGTGTAAAGGGATCCTGTGAGACCAAAAACTTTGAGAACCATTACCACAGAACAATAGGACAGAAATAAAAAAATTGTGCATTTTAACATGAATTCTACCCTATAATATCTTATCCTGAAGTTTCTTTATATTAGTCTTCATTTTCAAAAAACTACTACTAATTTTTTGTCAGCTGCTGAAAACAGGATTCATCTCCTGCCAAAAGCAAAGTTGTAGAGTTTTAATCATTTCTCCTTTCAATGACACAATATTGGTTATGGATATAATAGAATATTTAAGATCCATATTCTGACTGATTCATCTATTATTTAAGAATTGCTTAGAAACTGAACAGTTGGTAAATCACTCTTACCTTTAAAATATCTGGATTGTTGGCTAGTCTTAGTAGTTTGCAGGCCTTGGCTAATCCAATCCCACGCAGTGATGAAAGATAGTCACAGCCTGAAAGAATGCACATATAACGGAACTTCTCTTCTGTGAACACATCCCCAAGCTGTTTGCACATTCCCAGACGAGCCTGATCAACTTCTAGTCCATTTCCAAACTGGTCCATTTTTAAAATAACCTTCAAGAGGAAGGGAAACTGTGAACACCTGTAAGAGTCATTTTTATTTTTCATCATCTAATCCACTGTAGTATTTCTAAGAAATCTTTCCTGTTCTTTATCATAAGTGAGCAGACAGATACGTAGGCCAGGTAATCATTGTGAAATTTGCGAATAAGTTAAATTGAAACATAGGCCATGGCTGGACAATGTCATATGCCACTACTCAATCATTTTGCCTCTGGCGTAAAGAAGGCCCTTTCTGCACCTACTTCCTACCTGCACTACAGGGCTATCGTGTCAAAGAGCAATTCTTACAAAAAGCATCTTCTCCTCACTTTCCACTTTTACATATTAAAGTAACCCTTCACTTAGTCTTAAAGTAATACATGTCACTTGTAGAAAATGTGGAAAACAGAAATCCAGGAAGAAAACAGAAAATTGCCCCAAATGTCTGATCTATCAGTATTACCCAGCATCAACATTTTCACAGATCCCACTCATCATTTGTGAAATAGATAATATAAATAACATAGATATTAACAAAAATGAGATCACCCTATATAGTTTTGTATCTTAATATCATAATAAAATTTTCCATTAAATTGTTTTATACATAATTCTAAAAAACTGCAAAGCATCTCATTAGTAGATAAGTTAGCTTATTTACTTAATCTAATTGAGAAATATAAAGCATATAAGTAATCATTATTACAAAATAAGGCTACATTCCACTACAGAATTTAGAGAAAACAACAAAATCCTCTAACTTTAAGGGCTTAATCTGAAAAATCATTCAGATTATACAAATGTCAAGCAGCAAAACCTTTCTTCCCTTTTTAAATAAAATAATTATTAACACCATAAGTAGATATTAGTTGCAGGTATTAAATAAGATAGAAAAACTTCAGCTCCTTGATTTATGTTAGGTACCTTTTTACAGCCAAAAGCAAGGAGATCAGAGTCCTCCGTGATTACGGCTTGTACAATGCCAGCCTTGTTAAGATAGGCCAGCTGTGCATCCGCTTCATATGGGGCCACAAGACAGTCTACTCCCTGAGACCGAGCAGCCTGTGGGAAAGGGTTAGTCAGCAGCATCTGGAAACCAGTGAACAACTCCCTGTATCAAACCCATTTATCACCAGCCTCAACATGTACTGAACACATGCTAGTATTATTTTTGGAAGTCATTTCCTTTGAAGTACAGGTTTCTACTTTTAGTCCTAAATATTGAACTATATATAGTCCTATATAGTGAATCATATAGCTGCTAATAAATCTATTTTAAAAATCAATGTATGAATTAGGGAAAAAGAAATATCGCTGTACATTTGGGGAGGATACAAGCTGCAAACTCAATTTTTCAAATTATAGAAATCTACCATCTTAAGAATGATTGTGCTCTAAAGAACACGAGTCGCTCATTTCCCCATAATCTCTTACCACAGAACACAAGCCTGACACTGAACTGATGAAATGAACAGACTCTATAACTATCTATCTTCCCATCTGTTTACCAAATAGTTTGAACACAGACCTGAAAAAGGTGAAGTGTGGGCTGTAACTGTGGGTGTACTGACACTAAGATTTATGGTAATAGGTAATAAGGAAAGAAGCTTCTAAGAAGCAGGTCAAGTGGAACTGATCTGCTGCAAATGTTCTGAGTTGGCCAGTTGACTTTAGCAAATCTCTGACAGACACTCAAGAGTAAGTGTTAAAGATTATGAGTGGGGTGGGATTGAACCTCCATGAATTTATTCCTTCCATATTGGCAGAAAACATTTACCTATGTAAGTGACTCATCTAGAAAGTGAGAGCTGAGCTGTTTGTTCCTCAGGATTTCTTCTTTGGAAACTGCTGTACTCCTCTCTTCTACCTACAGAAACACTTCTCTTTCTTCCTCTGACAACCAGCTTTCGTAAAGGTTAGACCTAGAATAATCTTCCTCCCTTCACTTCGTTGCTCTCCCATTAGCCTAAATGAACCCTGTAGTGTTACTTTAGCTTCTTATTCAGCTCACTTTAATTACGTTGTGGGCCATAGTATGTGTGATATTGATAGAACGTGTGAAACATTCTCTGGCTTCTGAGACCTTCCCTTCACGAAGAAGCTGCTTTCCCTTAAGGAGATTGGCTTGTCGTCGTCTGCAAGATTAAAAAAAAAAAAGTGAGAAGAGGACTCAAAAAATTACAATATTATACCCTTGAATTGTATTCAAGAATTTTCCCTGGAATAAAAAATGCTTGACTCATATGAAAGTGCACCCCTGTTCCTTGACTATGCTAACCCAGATCTTTTGGGCTTCTAGACAAAAAGAGCACGGATTTACAGTGCCCATACGCACAAGCTAATCACCAAACTTTCTCACAGCACTGCTTCATGTCAAAAGAAAGTGAAGTAATGAAGACACGTTAAGAAAATGTAAGTCAAGGCTTTTATACCATTAAAACTAACTTTCTATTATAAAGGGTACAACTTTATCAACTCCACTCAGTGAGGTTTACTTCTATTTGGGACTGATTCACACTACCTTTAACTAAGCTCAGTGGTATCTCCTATAGAGCATAATGACTCCTAAAAACCAACAGAGGATAAAAACAAAAATAGATGAAAGTCGTAGAACAGACGCTTCACTAAAATGAAGAAATTCTTAAAAGAAAATACAGAAATCCTTTATAAGGTCTATTGTAAAAAGATTCTGTACTAGATTCTGTTGACTTAAATATGAAAGATACAATTTCAATTAAAACTACTAAAAGAATAGAAATAGAGTACATCACTTCAACTAGAAATAAGGGACGATAATAAGAGTGGAAAAAACAATCAACCCAGAAATCAAACAAGGTAGGAGGTATATGTTAGCAATTAAGATCAAGGTAAAAAGAATAAAACTACAGTTTTAAAAATGACAAAGACTGATGGAAGCGATTAAAAAAAATTACAGTGTTGTGTTCTTTATAAAAGACAAACTTAAAACAAATGTCATAGTAAAAGTCAACAGAAAAAGAAATTAGGAACATACAAAAGAAAATTGTTATGGCTATATTAACATCAGACATAATAGACTTTAGAACAAAAAAGCACAGAAATTTAAAAAGTCAGTGCATATTGTTCTAATATGCCAAAAAATAACAAATTCTAAACCTGAATGCCAATGATAAAATAGTTTCAAAACAAAGCAGGAAGAAAATAGACAGAACTACAAGGGAACTGACAATTCCACTATTATAGTGAAATTTTATCATACTTTTCTTAGTAATTGATGGATTAAGTAAAGTGAAAGTTGCTCAGTTGTGTCCGACTCTTTGCGACTCCATGAACCGTAGCCAGTCAGGCTCCTCTGTTTATGGAATTCTCTAGGCCAGAATACTGGAGTGGGTAGCTGTTCCCTTCTCCAGGGGATCTTCACAACCCAGGGATCAATCCCAGGTATCCTGCATTGCAGCCAGATTCTTTACTCTCTGAATCACCAGGGAAGCCCAAGAATACTGGAGTGGGTAGCCCATCTCTTTTCCAGGGGATCTTCCTGACCCAGGAATCGTACTGGGGTCTCCTGCATTGCAGTTAGATTGTTTGCCAGCTGAGCTACCAGGGAAGATCATTAAGTAGGATTAAGTAGACACACATTAAAAAAATTTCAAAAAACCAATAAGGATATGGAAGATTTGAACACTACAACCATTAAGCTTGATATACTGGACAGACATAAAACTATCCACTCAATAACTGAGGAATACACATCCTTTCCAGCATGCATGGAACATTTAAGGAAATCCATTTAGGTACGAGTTTAAAACAAGCCTCAACATACTAAAACAAAAATTTGTATCACAGAGACCACAATGTCAGACCTTAAAATAATTACGTTAAGGTATCACTTACTCTCTTCTAGACTTTTCCACTTCCTTTTTAGAAGGTAAAGTACATCCATCAAATACCAGGATAGGCTTGATCCCATGAGATAGTAACATATTTACAAATTTCATACAAAATCCTACATACCTATGAAAATGAAGAAAAATAATTAAGAAAGATAAACTCTAATTTAGACTTGGATTCAAATCCTGCCTTGGATCCTAATGGGCTATGGGCTATTTGTTTTCCTCAGGTGTAGATTAAAGACTTTTACATTTCTGCAGTTCTGACATTGTATTATTCTAAATCTAGTCTTTTTATCTCCCCACCCCTCACCCCTGTTTTCTTTTGCTTTGAGAAATTTCAATCTATTGAAAAGTTAAAGGAATAGTAGAATACATGATTTCTCCAACAACATCATTATTATACCCAAGAAACTTAATAGTAATATAATACTATCTATTATACAGTCTATATTAGAATTTATCCAATTGTCTCAGTAAGGTTATAACCATGGTGACCCGATAAATGTATAACAACCAGTTCTGGGGAAAGGGGTGCCTGATTTGTAGCATTTGTCAATTTCCTTGACATGAATATTCTACAATGGTGGATAAACTACCAGTGTAGGCTCATTAAATGCTGAACTGGGAGAAGATGGTGTATAGGAAACTCACATAAGTTGACTGTAGCACAGCATTGCTATAGTTTTTCCCCCAGTGCAGGATGCAAACAAGAATCATGTATTGCATTTAGATTTTCTGGCAAGACGACTAAAAATACTATGTGTAGATTCATTCCAGGGTCACAAGGCATTCGTCCTGCCTCAAATGAAGGCACAGAGTTACGACTGGATATCAGAATGGCCACTATTTTTGGCCCCAAGTGAAGTAAAAGGGAATGAGAACACCGTGCCCCTTAGGAACAACTGCCTTGTTTTGCTAACAGGGCTTAGCAAATGTGTTGCCTGTACCCAGTAAAGTAGAATTCTGAAATCGCCATGGATTTTTAGAATATTGTTAAAAAGTTTTATCTTAGATAACAGAAAAAAGAAGAGAGTCTTTGGCCTTTGTCCATTAGTGTCCTAATACTCTGGCTTATTAGAAAGAATGGAAACTAGACCTACATCAAAGAAGGAAATGTTCCTTGGCAATATTCTAAAGCATATATTCTCACTTCTTAATAAACCTTGCATTGAATAAAAATGACTCCTTTCTGAAAAAAAGGCATTGTAAGTCTCATTCTTAACTGGCAAATAATTAATATAAGATCCAAACTTACTTATCAGTAGGTTCACCTTTGGCTAGCTTTTCTGCACAAGCAACAGCTCCTTTGTGAAGCCAGCAATATGTATCCACAGCTACCACCTGCCCTTTATACTTCCTTATGTGTATAGGTTCAGAAGCTTCTTTGATAAATTGCAGCAGTCCATGTATCCCCATAGTGCCAAGTTAACTACATGATATAAAAAGAGAAAGGGAAAACAGCAAAATTTAAAGCAAAATATATTTACCCCAAAGTTTTGGAAAAATAAAAAGAGCTTGGAAATTGATATAACAACTGTTATTGTTCAGATATTTGCGAATTACTGCTCTTTAATATTTCAAATGGGCACTTCTCTGTCAAACAATCTCCATAGTCTAGTACCCTAATCTAATGCCACTTGATAGTTCCTTACTGTTTACTCTAAGCCCTTAACACTGAACAAAGCAGGCAGAAGGTACTAAAAAAGTGTGAGTCTGTCTTCTCTCCAAAAAGGCACTGTTAACATCTACAAAATTGTGTATGCTATGATATTACCTGCATCTGCACAGGCATTATATGAAATAACATGCAAAATAGTTCGTAGGACATTTCAACTGAAAGATAAAACAAACAATCCTAGAACTAAAGCTGTACTTTTTTAGGACTGAAATTTACCACCATCAGAGTGCTTTATTCCAAGCAATGAACATTCTGTTAATAAGCAGTGGTGGTGTCCAGGGGCAACTCCATCAGACTCGCTGAAAACTATCCCCAAATAAGGAGAAACTGCACCTGCTGTCCAATTAATTTTGAGAAAAATGTTTTAGCTTTCCACCCTCTTCCATCCAAGTTGCAGCCCCAAGCCTCCTTTCTATACAGAAACCTGCAGCTGCCAGTCCTTCCCCAAGCAACTAATGTCCCCTCCCCAACCCCCATGACAAAAATTGAGCAGTTGCTTAGCATTTCCTAAAATAAATCTCTTCAAAGAGGTATTAAGTCTGGGAGGAAAAGAAGAATGAACAAGATCAGAAGACAGACTCACGCTGTTGATACCCTATATCAAAGTTCTGATAGTCTAGTACAGCAGGTTTCAAATTTCAGTTCTTCCTACAGTCTAAATCCCACTCCTAGGGACTATGATTCACTAGTCCTCGAGTGAGGTGGGAATTCTGAATTTTAAACAAATCAGGTCATTTGGATGCAGGAGATCCTCACACCACAGTTTATGAAAAACAATTTGTCTCCTACCTCTCAGAGGTTCCTAAAAAGAGTTTTCTTTCTTTGAGGAAAATTCACATGGTATATGCTGGTGTTTAGTTGCCAAGTCATGTCCGACTCTTTTGCGACCCAATGGGCTGTAGGCCGCCAGGCTCCTCTGTCGATGGGATCTCCAGGCAAGAATACTGGAGTAGGTTGTCATTTCCTCCTCCAGGGGATCTTCCCCACCCAGGGATCGAACTCTCATCTCTTGTCTCCTCAACAGGCGGTTCTTTACCACTAGCGCCACCTGGGAATCCCCAAGGCGGATTCTTTACCACTGACTACCAGGGAAGCCCGACATAATGTATACATTTCGTGCAACTTACAAGTTTCTCCTAAACGTTTCCTCTTTAGCACAATGAAACAATGGAGGGGGTCGGGGGTTTAGGCACAAAGCGTCCTCAGGGGACCGCCCGCGGCATCTGGTAGTACTGACAGCACGACGTCATCGCTCCTTCCCCTCTCTCACGAACTGGAAGGGGGGCCCACACGCCCTTTCCAGAAGACACGTTCCTTTGGCCTGCACAGCGTGGAGAATATAGTTGTCAAGCATCTGCAAGGTGGGAGGCTGCAGGTAAAACTGCCGTGGTAGCTTCCGCAGGAAAACGAAAGGACCCTCCCTCCCTCTGTCAGCCAAACCGCAGCCCTGGTCTGGCTGAGCGCGCTCCCCTGGCCCATACAGCCCCGCATCGTCCCCCAGGGCCGCCGCAGGGTCTAGTTACGTGCCAGATCCTCCTCTTCAGCCCCTAAGACCGGGGATCCCAAGGGCAGGGGCGGGGACCAGCCTGGATCCACCGCGTGCTCTGCACAGCCGGCTCCACTGGCTTCCCGGGGAGGTCCCTCCTCTCCCGTCCGTCCGATGGCAGCTGGGTGCGGACTTAGAAGCCCAAGGCCACGGCCCTCACTCACCTGGGCCGCCGCGCGCCAGCCGGCAGCGCCAAAAGCTAGGAGCAGGGAGACAGCACAGCACCGAGGGCCCGACTTTTCAATTTGCGCGGGATGGCCCGAGACTCCGCCCAGAAGAAGTGACGTCAGCTCCTCTGCGACTTCTGCTCGTCTGCTCCGCTTCCTACAGCTTCCCGCTTCCGGCCTGAGTCACCAGGTCCTGGCCACCTGGGTACCTGCCGCCGCCACCGCAGTCAGCCCCTGGACTCCGAAGCGTCCTTATGGAGGGGTGAGCGGAGCTGGCTCAACTTCCGGGCATGGCTCCCGGAACGCGCATTGAGTTCCTTTCGCAGGCTGATGGAGTCGTGGATCTCCCCCAAATGCTGCCTCAGGCCCAGGCGCTGAAGCTGGGAGATCGCCGCCCTGTGTTTATGTTGAGGTTTCTAAACTTAAAATGGGTCCTGGCTGGAATTGTCCCTAGTGCTTATCCTGGCTTTTGACAGGCGCTGCACGTGGGTTCCAGGGACGCAGAAGGTGCAACTTGAGGTGTATATTCCTTGGACCCTTCCAGTAGACTTCGGGAAGGGGAGGACGCGCTTACTGAGTACTTTAATTGATAAGTGACAGAGTCTTTACTTAACCTGACTGGCCAGGCTCCTCTGCCCTCTTCTCAACTAGGACTCAACCTTGATTAACATCAAGTGCACATCCCTTGGGCTTCCCTGGTAGCTCAGTGGTGAAGAATCTGCTTGCCAGTGCAGGAGACACGGGTTCCATCCCTAGGTCGGGAAGATGCCCTGGAGAAGGAAATGGCAACCCTCTCCAGTATTATTGCATGGAAAATCCATGGACAGAGGAGTCTGGCGGGCTACAGTCCATGGGGTCGCAAAAGAGTGGATGGAACCCGACTTAGCAGCTGAACAACCACCACCACATCCCTTCTGTGACCCCAGCCCCACTTGAACTGCCTACCTGAGAAAGCTCAAGGCTACCAAAAGAATTCAACATTTGTCCCCGTCAACATCCAAAGACAAGATCTCTATCCCCAGCGTCTCTAAGAAGGGAGGAAGTTAACTTTCATAAATTCTGGTTAGCAGTCTCAGGTCAGTTCTCCAGTTCTCCTTCCCATTCTTTTTTATTTTTCACTCCCTGACTCTACTGAGTCACCACGCATACACACCCCTATTTTCTCTTGAAACTGCCCAGTCACTTCTGTACAAATCCAGGGTGAGTTCACTTCATGATCGACACTTTCCTTATTGCAGTGTATTACTGACTGAAGTCTGTCCTAACTACTTTACCTGGTGTCCTGCTTTGTATATCTTTGGCCTGGAGAAACTAACCAAGCAGTCATGAAAATGGGTTATGGTGCATAGCCTTTAAAGACATTTTTTATTTTGGCAGGCACATGGGGTGAAACTTCAAGTCCTCATGATACTCTCGACCTGATTACTGTCTTCTTAGGAATATTGCAGAAAAAGAAATTGGAAAGAACCTTAGGTTAGACCACAGAGTATACTCTTGGCCCAGAGATGGGCATGAATGAAAAATTCAGACTCAATTTAAGGAGTTAAAGGGGAAAAAGTGATTTTTTAAAACGCTCCCATTTTGACTGCCTACTCTGCATGTTTTTCTCATACTTCTTTTTTAAAGTCTTTTTATGATGAATCTAACATCTATCATGTCAACATACTACCTTATAAATTGTTGGAAAGATGCCATTTGGGGGAAATATGCTAAGTGGGAACATGGCTGCCTCCTCCGGGTCTAGTCTTAATAGCTGAGGCTAGGAGAGGAGGTCAGAAAAATGACCTTCATTTGTGGTTCCAACACCTGTACAGCAGGAGACCTCACTCTGGATCAGCTTGGAGCTGCCTGTAATGGAAGGTGGGGGACAGTTCCAAACTGTAGTAGGTGGAAAAGGGATTTAAATGTGGGTGGGATGGGGGGGGGTGTCTTAGGAAGAAGCCCAAACATCAAAAATGTGCCCACTGCATCATGAGACTTGACAGGTTACTACCCTACGAACAACCCATATCTTTATTACTAATTTCACTCCAAAGGTTCTAGACAGGACTCTTGGCTATAGTGTTTAAAAACTAAAGAAGAAAATACCAGTTAACAATGATTTCCTAAACAATATTTTAACACTTTGGGAAGATAAAACCATTTGAATCAATTCATGCAGTTACTATTGGGTTGGCCAGAAAGTTTGGGTGTTTCCATAACATCAATGCATGCCTTAGGTGTGCCTGTCCATACTAGGTGATATGGGGAACGCAAAGAACTGGTTACTGTCTTTAAGCAAGTTTCTGTACACAAAACATATATTCATCAAAAAGTGAAATCACAAATTATGATGATGTGTTAATAATTCTGAAATGAGTGGCACAGACCACACAATTGTCAGCTTAAGATTCAGTTGTTTTACCAGCTCTCTGAAATCTTTCCTGACATGTGCCCAAACATCCTGTGATGACCTCTGCCTTAACCCTTCTCATACTATTGTATTTGACTTTGTCCCCCAGATTTACCAGACAATAATATAGGCCAAGTTACATTTGAATTTAAGGTAAACAGATACATTTTTTTAGTACAAGTATGCCTAGTGTAATATTTGAAACATTCTAAACAAATTTCCACGTTTATCTGAAATTCAGATGGACCTGGACAACTGTGTACATAGCACATCTTCATCCGTTCACCCATCAGTAGACACTTGGGTTGTTTTCACATCCTAACTATTGTAAATAATGCCATAATGAACATAGGGGTGCATATGATTTTCAAATTAGTGTTTTCAGATTCTTTGGATAAATACCCAGAAGTGGAATTGCTGGGTCATGTGATATTTCTAGTTTTAATTTTTTGAGGAATCTGCATACTATTTTCCACAGTGGCTGCACCAATAGTGTAAAAGACTCCCACATTCTCTCCAGTATTTGTTGTCTTTTTGATAATAGGCATTCTAACAGAAGTGAGGTGATTTATCATGGTGGTTTTGGTTTGCATTTCTGTAATAATAAGTGCGCTTAAACATCTTTCCATGTGC